GTAACGCGTTACTGCCCATCTCTGGTGATGAGTGAATACTTTTGGCAACACAGTGTATGTTTACATGCATTTAATAAAACATATGGTCTTTTCCTATTTGATAAACTAAGGAAACACCAGTCCTCTTTATCTTAATATAGTTCCTCCAGAAGAGGTGTCTGAGAGGCAGCAGGCAGACTGCTTACAGACCAAGGTCACATGACTTACTGACTAGCTTTGGTGATAAAAAATATGAAGTAGAAATGCAATGCCACGATTAGACATCATAGAAACAGACAGGTGAGCCACAGCAACGGAGACCAATAAATAAAAGCAAAACTCTGGGTGTGTGTGTGTGTGTTAGACAAACCACAGAGGAGGATGCACATCATCTCTGGCTGCCCTGCAGGTCCTCAGACACAGTCGATTAATGTCAGGGTCAAACCAGAGGCTGACAGAGGAGGAAACACCCACTTATTGAGAACTAGACAGCCAGTATTGTGCCTTTAAGCAAGTATCTCTTTTAAATCAGATTGAACACAGGAGGAGAGTCAAGTAATTGACAAACCAGCTAACCAAATTAATCTTATACTAATATACTGTACTTTTAGAACTTCTGTTACTGCATTCACGAACACTGTGCCACACAATACTGTAACCAGCTTGATGCACAGCTATGGCCTAGACCAGCTCTTTGTAGACATACGTAGAGCAGTACATTAGAAAAGTTAAAAAACTGATTCTGACACCCCTGAGGCCAGTTGAAAAAGCAGACTTTTTATTGAAGTATAAAGTTCAACAGTGTCTGACACATGAAACCAGCAGTGAAGAAGGTGATGGGGGATATACAGAGTAAATGAACAGACTGAAGGAGAAAAGGATGATGGATGGACATGTGAAAAGGGGGTGGGTGGTGCAGGACACAAGAGTGATTATGGAGAGAAACAAGAATAGAAGTTATAGGCTAAATCGAGTTGAGGTAGTTCAGTATGTGATATGACAAAGTGGAAGTTTGGCAGATATGAAGAGAAACAGAAATGGGTTAAAAGAAAAAAAGATAGACATGTGAGTCATATAAGTCAGAGGCAGAGAGAGAGAGCAGCAATAACAATGGACTGTTATGGTGATGTAGACAGAGAGAGACAGAGGAGGGGAAAGATGAAGTCCAGTTTTTCTGCTTCATTTCAGAAAGTGCTCAAGGCCAACATGCCACACAGACCCATTATTCCTGTGTCGTCTGTTCATATCCAGTAAGCTTTACATCCACTCTTGAATACAAGCTGCAGAAAAAACAATATTTTAAGACTTTCAGCTTT